GAGAAATCTCCATGTTATTGTAAGTTAAAAAAACAAAAAACAAAAACTTCAGGGTAATGAGCATGGTATTAGCCTGTTTTTACTTAAAAAAGAAAGCAATTAAACTTATGTTTATGTGATATATACACATACACGAAAGTTTAATTCTCTACGTTTTACCTAACTGGTGCTGGGGCTCAGGACAGGCTGTCCCAAAATAGGCCACATATTTTGAATTAAAGTTACTTAAGAAATGGCCAATGCAAGAGGGACACCCTGACCCACCTTTCTGTCTCCCTGAAAGCAGGAAATAAATCTCCCATGTGAAAAGTGCATTCCCTGCATCTGGAGGTAGAAGGATGCCCTTATCCCCAGAGACAGGGTATTTAGTCCCAGAAGCCTATTATAAACAAACCATGTTACTTCTTTATCAATACTACCCCAAGCCTAAACTCTTTTTAGAGTTTTGATCACCCAAAACCTGTTTCTTTGACCTGTCAATTCCTTACTAATTTATTGTTTCCTTGTCTAAAAAGTACAAAAGCTGCCTGCTTTGGCCACTTCTTAGGTGCCATTTCTATAAGACCTCCATGCTCGTGAAGTAAAATTTGTTTCTTTCTCTCCTGTTAATCTGTCTTGTGTCAATTTTAATATTAGTCCAGCCACAAGAACTCAAGGCAGGTAGAGGGGGACATTTTCCCCTTCCCGACACTGGTTATGACAATAAGGTTGCTATATACCACTCTTAGACACAACTTCAAAGGGAGAATAGCACCATGCTCACTAACTAAAGTCTCCTTCCTAATAGGAGTGTCTCTGTGTGGGTATGTGTGTGCAGACAGAAAAATGTGGAAAAGCACATTTATGTTAACAGTGGATACCTGTGTGGGGGAGAATTGAAAGCAGCTGGTTAAGGAAATTAACTTTTCTTTATATGCCTCTGGATTCTTTTGATTTATTAAAAAAAAAAGAGCATGTATTACTTTTATAATAAAAATCCAATGTTTCAAGTTAGTCTAGTAAAAGCAGAGCTTAAAAATGGAGGCTGTTTAATCAGCCCTTCAGTAATGTTTATGGATCAGAGGTCAATTTTTCTAGCTCTGCTGTAAGACCAACTACTGGCTGAGTGGTTGTCTAAATTGTTCATGTTCTTTGTGGACTGATGATGCCCAAGTCACATGATAATTGCATAACCTACCAAATTGCTGGGCTTTGTTTTTCACTACCCAATTTTCCCCATTTCTTTATGTACTCTAGACTACATTTTATGGAAGCAAATTTATCAGTGTCTTTCTCTCACAGGAGCTTAAGCTCACAGACAAGCTCAGAGACTTTTTTGAGAAAAGACCTTAAGGATTTAATGTTTCATCAGGCATTGGGTACAATGGTCTGTGAGGCACTGGAGGAACCAAATTTTGTTCTGCACTGCAGAAGCCGAATATGAGGGGTGAGCAAAAAAGTGGAGTAAAAATATTTTTATTGCCAAGTATGTTATTTTACCATCCCCCATCCGCATTTTAATCAGTAGGAAAAGTGTCCTGAGGGTAATAGCTAAATCTTTCAAAAAACGGATGAGGAGATGGAAGAAAAGGATTCTTAATAATAACTGTATATTGAGCATTATGGTGTGCCAGACATTGTGCTAAAACCTTGTTGAGATTATCTCGCTAAATCTTCCCCACAAATCTATAAGGTCTGTATTATAATTATGCCTATTTTGTAGATGATGAAATGGAGGGTGAAGAACTGAGAGGAGTAGTGGCTTGTCCGAGGTTCCCCAGCCAGTAAGTGACAGAGTTAATGCCAGTTTATTTTTTAATTTAAGTAGATTCACCATACATCCCAGTTTGCCTGAGCTAGTCCCAGTTTACATCGTGTATCCTGAAGTAATTAGTAATGGTGTCCCCTTTCCATCTCACAAATGGACCCGACAACAAATTTACAGCTGCCCCATCTCAAGATTTCCCAATCTTGGTACTATTGCTTTTGGGGGCTGGAAAATTCTCTGTTGTGAGGGGCTGTCCTGTACATTATGGGTGTTTGGCAGCACTGCTGGCCTCTACCCTCTAGATGCCAGTAGCCCCCCACCCAAATAACAAACAAAAATGTATCCAGATGTTGCCAAATGTCCCGAGGGGCAAAGTTGTTCCTACTTGAGAATTACTGTATCTAAAGCCTATGCTCACAAAAATTTAACTACAGAAGGAAAATACCATCTATTTGCTACAGAACATGTACTATAAGCCTACCTATTACACTAGCTGGCATACACCCTGTACTCAATAAAAGTTAATTTCTTGGGGGCATTATTTGATTTCCCAATTGTAGAGAGGTACAAGGGCTAAACAAACTATGAACAAGATGACTGGAGGGCTCTAGTGATTAAAATTGGTTTGTTGCAATTCTTATTAGAGAAGACTGAAATGGTGTACTGGGAAGTGACCCAGAAACCTCCTGGCTTCCCGTTCTGGTAATATTGTGGAATTTGATTCTTGGTTCCATTGGGTGTCATGCCTTAGTAATGAACATAATATCCAGGGAGACAGCCAGAGAATGATACGGTATATGTTTTACACCGCAACCTTCTTCAATCATAATAGCTAATAATAATCATTGTTCTATTTTCTCCTACTCTTCCTCTTAGAAATGACCACGATTTCTTTCATACCACCATTTTCCATTTATTAGCAATAACAGAGGAAATACCAATAGCACCAATCAAAAATGAATCCATATGACGTGTTTTATCCTTACAGCTGTAATAACTAGTAACTAACATGGATTGGAAAGCACTTTGCAAATGTAAAAGTGCTGTACAGATGCATTATAATTATCATCATTAATAAATTAGCCCGATTCTCCTAGTATTCAAAAGGCACGTAAGGTCAGATACATGGGTTTCAGTGGGGCAAAATGATCACAACCTACAATGATGTAGCAATGGTTCACATGTGTTAGCAATAAATTTTACCCCATGCAATCCTGCAGAGCTGAAGTTACACACCCTTCAAAAAATGGGAGAATGAAGCTAAAAGTAGACAAAACAGGTTTGAGGGTTTTTTTGAGATTTAATGCTTTTAATAACAGACTCCTACCTCTTTTATGTTAACTTTTAAAAGATAATATAATTAATCAAACTTCTAAATTGCACATTTTAACAAATTAAAATTTCTTATTTAAGGTGACAGTAAATTTTATTATTCTCTATGAGCTGATATTCCAGATATTGTTAGAATTTCAAAGTATTCTGTAACTTCAAAGAGGTCAGATTGATAAATTTTGTGCTTGCACACCCTCAGGAAATATCTTCAGTATGCATTCCAGAACCGTTACTAGAGAAAAACAGCTTTAACCATTCCCTTGCCAGCAAGAGTCTTGGCAAGAGACAGCTCGTGGCTGACCATAAATAAAATTCCTTGAATCACCAGTATCTTGATTTAAGAAAGAAATTTTACTGTGTCTTTCATACATAAAAGTTGATTAACAATGGTTAAAAAAACTACTGCACTTTTTCACAGGTGTACAAAAGGAAATATAATGGAATTACATTCAACAATAAAGCTTAAAGTTCACTCTAGGTAATAGTTGCAGTAACATTCACATACACAAGCACAGAGTAAGTATATATCAGGAGTCTTATAATAGCATACAGCATACATATGGGAGATTGAGCTCAGGTAACATCATAGGTGTTAGCAAGATTAGCAATTCAGAGTGTTATAGAAAAGGAAAACTAAACCAAAGAGAAAGTGTTGGCGATCACACCAAGACAAATCACAGAATTAGAGGATTGGAAAGTCTGCTCACTGTATGTATGAGAAAACAACATTTTTCTTCAATTTCTGGGTCTTGATACAGTTGGTTAGAATTCAAAGTGCACATAATTGTTTCTTAGAAAACAGAGAGCGAAAGATCCTTTTATTTAGTAATTAATACATGCAAGAGGCAGCCCCAGAGTGACCTGAAAGAGTAAAGCTGTGATTGGCAGGTGGCCGGTATAATACAGATGTTTCAGGCAATTCTCTTAAAGCACTTCTGTAGCAGCAATGGTCATTTAAATGGCTGTGGACTGAATTCTCTTTCGAGGATAGTTTAGGGGAATTGAATTCATCATATTTCTCTTTAAAGATTTACAGTTATAGATTTTCTCTTTTTTAAATAAATCTATCAACAAACAGCATAAAGTGAGGTGCTGGGGTTTTCTTTTGCTTTTGCATATGTGTTGTCGGAAAAGAATCTGACCTTTTCATAACATTGTGTGCAAAAGAATTTTTAATAAAGTGAGCACAAGGACATATGCAGGAAACACATCAGATCTGCGTCTGTTGCCCTGGTTGGCCCCCTGTTAAACACTGAACTATTGGCTTGTAGGTAAAATGCAGGTTTTAGGTATAATGACACCACAGCCAAGAGACTTAGGGATTCCTAAAGCCTTGTCAATGGGGGGAGTTTTGTCTGCTAGAGGGTGGCCACTGCCTCTTCAGTTGTAAGATTTAGAAAGTCTGGTACCTTTTCGTTTCACATTTCCCACTGTTGATTTGCCTTTGTTTCCCAGCCCTCCTAGTCTAATCTGGCCCATCCCAGCCAACATATTCCCCGGTGGCCACACATACCCAGTGGCCACAGACACTCAAGCTGCTCAATCTCAAAACCTTTCATCCTGCCCTGAAAGTGTCATCAAGACAGGATCCCCGGAGCACAGGGCAGAGAGTCCAACCTCTCACTGGCGGGGCTGGGAAGCCTTTCCTTTGTGGCGGAGGAGAAAGGAGACTTGGGTCTGCTTTTTAGGTTCTGAAAACAAGCCAGAGTGGAGAGAGAGAGTTAACACCAGACTTAGTAAAGCTTTTAAGACAAAACTTGTTAAATGTGATCTAGACAGACATAGGGAACTTTCTGCAGATTTCTGAGGTCTATAAGAAAGGGCTCATGTGGATAGGAAAAAGGAGTAGGGAGTTGCTACATGGGAGAGATTTGCCATTATTACAAAAACTGGCTAAGTGGCTTGTTTCCATTAGATGACCTCACTGGTCACTGTTGTCAGTCGTGCTGTTCCCTTTCTCTTTTTTCTCCTGGGTCTTGTTACCCTTCTTCTTTTTCTTCTTTTTCTTGGTCTCCTCCTTTTTGCCGAAGGTTATGAAGTCACTTTTGTCAATTTGGCTGTTAGTAGGCTCCTGCCGGATGGAGATGATTGCAGGAGATCCTGGGATAATGAATTTGTCTGGCAACTCACCGGGACCAGATTGTTTGGGGTTGCCTGGTCCGTATTTAAAGGTCCAGCTGTTGCTGTTGACACCAGCACCGACTGGAGGGGACACCTCTCCTGCCTCTGGTTCTGCAAGACAAACCATCACAAGTCAGTCACAGAGTCAACATATGCCTTCCATATGCCACACCAGGAGCCTGAACACAGGAGACGCTGCACAGATGGTCATGGCCCCCATGAAATCGTGAGTTATTTCTTCAAGCCTAGGGCAAGGCCAATGTTTGGAAACAAGCAGGAAGGCAGATTTTTTTCACCAGAGGGTCCAGAAATCTAGGTTTCTAGTAACATATTTTTGGTTCTTTGTGAAGAATTTTCTAAAGAATATCTGGTTGTGATTACCCTGCCTGGGTGTGGGGCAGGAAATGTACTGGATTAAAGCAGAATATGCGATAAAGTACCTAGGAATAAATTTAACCAAGAAGACGAAAGACCTGTACACTGGAAACTTTACAACATTTATGAAAGAAATTGAAGGAGATAGAAACAAATGGAAAGATATTCCATGCTCATGGATTGGAAGAATTAATATTGTTAAAATGCCCATACTACCCAAAGCAATCTATAGATCCAATGCAATCCTTATCAAAATTCCAATGGCACTTTTCATAGAAATAGAAAAAACAATACTAAAATTTGTATGGAACCACAAAAGAACCCAGTAGCCAAAGCATTTTTTAATTTTATTTTTTAGATTTATTTATTTATGCATGCATGCATGCCACATGGCATGTGGGATCTTAATTCCCCTACCAGGGATCAAACCTGTGCCCTCTGCAGTGGAAGCATGGAGTCTTAACCATTGGACCACCAGAGAAGCCCCAGCCAAAGAATTCTTGAGAAAGAAGAACAAAGCTGGAGACACCAAGCTTCTAAACTATATTACAAAGCTATAGTAATCAAAACAGTAATGGCATAAAAAGACACACAAATCATGAAAGAGAATACAGAGCCCAAAAATGAACTCATGCAAAAACGGGCAGTTAATTTATGGCCAACAAGCCAAGAATATACAATGGGAAAAGGACAGTGTCTTCAATAAATGATGTTAGAAGAAATGGACATATAAGAGAATGAAACTGGGCCTCTATCTTACACCATACACAAAAATTAACTCAAAATGGGTTATAAACTTGAACATAAGACCTGAAACCACAGAACTCCTAGAAGAGATCATAAGCAGTAAGCTCTTATGCTTACATCAGTCTTAGCAATGATTTTTTTGAATCTGATAACAAAAGCAACAAAAGCAATAATAAACAAATGATACTACATCAAACTAAAAAGCTTCTCCACAAAGAAGGAAACCAACGAAATGAAAAGGCAACCTACAGAATGGGAGAAAATATTTTCAAATCCTATATCTGATAAGGGGTTAGTATCCAAAATATATAAAGAAGTCATAGAATTCAATATTAAAAAAACTCCAAACAATCTGATTGAAAAATGGAAAGAAGATCTGAATAGACATTTTTCCAAAGAAGACATACAGATGGCCAACAGGTACGTGAAAAGATGCTCAACGTCACTAATCATCAGAGAAATACAAATCAAAACCACAATGAGCTATCACCTCACATCTGTTAGAATGGCTGTTATCAAAAAAACTAGAAATAGCAAGTGTTGGTGAGGGTATGGAGAAAAGGGATCCCTTGTCCACTGTTGGTGGGAATGTAAATTGGTGTAGCTACTATGGAAAAGAGTATGGAGGTTCCTCAAAAAATTAAAAATAGAGCTAGCATATGATCCAGCAATTCCACTTCTGGGTATGTATCTAAAGAAAGCAAAAACACTATCTTGAAAAGATATATGTACCCCCATGTTCACTGCACCATTATTTACAATAGCCAAGATATGGAAACAATTTAAGTGTTCATTGATTGATAAATGAATAAAGAAAATGTGATACACACACACAGCTGAATTTTATATATATATAAAATTCAGCCATAAAAAAGAATGACATCTTGCCATTTGTGACAACATGAGTGGACCTCAAGGGCATTATGCTAAGTGAAATAAGTCAATATTTAAATATTTGACAAAATAACACTGAGAAAGACAAATACCATATGATCTCACTTATATGTGGAATCTAAAAAAACAAACAAAAAAACAAGCTTATAGATACAGAAAACAGATTGGTGGTTGCTAGATGGTGGTGGTGGTAGTGAAGGGTGCCAAAAGGTACAGACTTACAGTTATAAAATAATAAGTCATGGGATGTAATGTACAGTATGGTAACTACAGTTAATAATACTGTATTGCATATTTGAAAGCTGCTAAGAGAATAGATCTTAAAAGTTCTCATCATAATAAAAATAATTTTTTGTAACTATATATAGTGAGAGATGTTAGCTAGTCTTATTGTGATCATTTTACTATGTATAAAAATAGTAAATCATGTTGTACACCTGGAACTAATATATTATGTGTCAATTATATCTCAATTAAAAATAAAAGATAAGATATATATAGGTACATGTAAAGTATTATAGGACCGAGAGGCAAAAATTAATTACACTTGAGAAAGTCAACTGAGATTCCAAGAGAGGTGAAATTCGCGCTGAGACTTGAGAAAATGATTATGCATCCACAGGGGTTTCCAGTGCAAGACTTTCCCAAGAGTCTAGTTGGAAGACACACCATAAAGTATACCATGACTTCTAGAAGAGTAGAGGTCAGAGCTAGAGAAGAAGAGCAATGGTCTGTCTGAGCGAAGTGATCCCAGTGGCCATGACATTGAAACCTTTTGGCGTCACAGCAGTGTTCATGTATCTGACACTGTTTCTTTGGTGGAGCCATGGAAAGTTCTGCCAGATAAACAGTTTACGTTTGATTGTAGTTTGGGATTCTCTACATCTGCTACTTCCATCTCCTTACGTTCCACCACTTCTCAATCTCCTCTAATTTGGCATCCTTGAGCACTACTTTTCTAACATTGCTCATGGCAAGCTCACTGATTATATTACTTCCAAAGCCAGTGGTCACATTTTAGCCTTCATCTTATTGAACTTCTCAGCAGCATTAGTAATCCCCTTCTTGGCACACTTATTTTTTTATGAGTTCCTTATCAAACCATTCTCCTGACCACTCTCTCTGGCTGTCCTTTGTCAGTTACCTCGCAGGATCCTCTTTACCTATGTATTGCAGCTTCCTTGGGTTTGGCCCTAGACCTTTTCTTCTTTCTCTTCACTCTCTCCTTTTGAAATCTCAGCCTGTCCATGGGTAAACGTACCATCTAAATATGCTGATGAGATACAAATGTATACTTAAAGCCCATAGGTCTCTCCAATCTCATGTATCCAACTGCCTATCTGGTATCTCCTCTTGGCAGTCTCATGGGCAACTCAAACTGAAGGAATCTGAAATCAAACTCATGATTCCTCTCCTCTATTCCCTTCTAAATCTCTCATCTCAATCGATGATACGCCATTCACTCCAATGCTCAAGGCAGAAGCTTCAGAGCCATTATTCATTTTTCTCTATTCTTCATTTATAATATACCAACACCTGTCATTGCAGCCTCCTAAACATATCTAGACTTTGTCCTCTTCTCCCCATTTTCACTGCTGCTACCTTTTTTCAGGACACGATTATCTTGTATGTGAATTACAGCAATAGCCTCTTCCTTGTTCAGCCTGCTACTTTTGCCTCTCTCTAACCTTCCACACGTAGCCAGAGTCATCTTTATTCCTTAAAGTCTTTCTCCGTTTTTAAAATACTGAAGTATAACATGCACACAGTAAAAATCCTTTAAAAAACAGAAATTATATCACTCCCCTTGCTTAAACTTATTTGAAGGTTTTCTATTGCCTTGAGAGGAAAAAAGAAAAATCAAACTCCTTAACGTGGTATACAAAGCCCTTCAACAGCCTGTTATTTTTTATTCTCCAATTTCACGTACAAGTGTCCCTCTTACCACTATCCTCCAGCCACACAGCTTTTCTTTCAATTCCTCAACACCCCTTGGGATTGTTTTTGCCTCAAAATCTGTACACATACGGTTTCTTTTTGCCTAGAATGGTCTCCCCTCCATGCTTAGCATGACTCCTCATTCTTCAAGTCTGTGCTTAATTGAAACCTCTTCAGAGAGGCATTCTATGACCATCCTAGCCAAGCAGCACCCCCTTCACCTCTATCTCTATCACTGTAAGGTCCAGAGAAGCAGAAAATATGTATTTATTTTTGAATGTTTAAAAATTTTTTTACTGGAGTACAGTTGATTTACAGTGTTGTGTTTCAGGTGTACGGCAAAGTGAATCAGTTATACATACACATATATCCACTCTTTTTTTTTTAGATTCTTTTCCCATATACGCCAGAGTATTGAGTATGTTCCCTGTGCTATACAGCAGGTTCTCTTTAGTAATCTATTCTATAAGAAAATATATCTGTTTTATTCACCAATGTGTAGCCAGTGTCTAGCACAATTCCTGGCCCATAACAGGTGTTTGATAAATACTTGCTGGATGGATGAATGAAAGGACTGATGTGAGAAATGGAAGTGGTGCCCACTCCTTAGCAGATCAAATAAGTTTCCATTGCCGCACTTTGGAGTCCCTAAAGACAACCAGGAAATACATGTGGAGGCTGACTCCAGCACAATGAAAGAGCTCAACAAATGGAATCACACATGGGCAACTAAACATGGCGCAGCTCTCAGGGCTAGAACAGCAGGGTAAGGATATTGCAAATTTAGTCCAAATACCAGCAGCTGTAGGGAA